CACACCACCGATAAATCACAAAAACACAAATGTTCGTCGCTTTGGTGCCTTGGGGGTTACATAAATTGTTACGTTTTCACTACTGATTGAGCGAAAATGGTTGTTTAGGGAAGTGATTATCAATTGCATTCAATCTCCACCTCAAATCCACCAATGGTAAACAAGATAATAAAATAATTACTTTTTCTTTAAAAATAATCGATTAAATTCAAATTTCAAATTATAAACCTAAAAAAAGGGTTATTAGAAGCCCAACCACTAGTTAACTTCCCTGGTCCATCAACCCCCTTCTTTTTAGCATCCACCGATAAAAAGTGTCTACGGAACCCAAACTGCCTTATTATGTAATAAAAAAGACGAAAGTATCTCCCACCGTAATAAACTCAAAAGAAAAAACATTGCAAATGGCTTATTTATGAGGCTGTTTTTGGTAATAAAAATTAAGATGGGTGTTTACCATAAACTAAAAACAAATCCGGGAAGATTGCAAATATTTGAAGAAATTTGAGAGACGGCAGTGTTAAACAGAGTCTTTAAATTTCTTAAAAGTCCCCAATTGTTTTGTGTTTTTTTTTGGTTATCTTCCCGCTGCTTGCCATTACTGCATCGAGAAGCTCTCCCTAAAAAAAAAAACCCTAGATTTCTTCTCTTCTCTTCCATCCTTCCTCTCTCGCCATGAAGCTCGTAAGGTATATAATCTTCTTTTCTATTCTCTTACTCTTATTTGAGTATTTTATTTAATTTCGAATTGTTATTTTTTTTTGCTCCCCCGCAGGTTTTTGATGAAATTGAACAACGAAACAGTTTCAATAGAGCTAAAGAACGGAACAATAGCTCATGGAACCATCACAGGTACACACTGCTTCTCTTATTCTCCAGCTTGTTTAGGGTTTTTCTTTTCTGTTGATGGTTAAGCAATGGAACTCTCTCGAAATCTTAGTGTAGCCAGAATGTTGATTTTAAAGTTTTTCCCTAGGAATGCTTTTCCCTTTTAAACCTGAGTGAAACACTGGTTGAGTCAGATGCAGATGATACACGAGTTCTTGTCTTAAAATCAAGATTCCTGATATAGGTTAGTTTTTTCTTCTTGCTTTTACAAACAATCTGTCTGTAAGCTTAGCCAGAGTGTTTTGATTTTGAGCTAGAAATGCATCGTTGTCGGTATCAAACCTCGAGCCAGATGCATAAACACTTTTTTTTTTAAGTACCATCTTTATATATATATTCCGGAAAAAAAGGCCGAAGCCCAATACAACCCAATACAAAAGGCCTCCCGACATGGGACAAAAAATTAGGTCAACCTCTGCTATAAGCAGGAACTACAGAAAACAAACTCTTAACACTAAGGAAAGATAACTAGAAGGAAGCAAACCAAGTAGCCAAAAGAGAGGAACCAGGATCAACTCTCTGTGCTCTTGAAAGAGGATCAAGCCTAAGCTGGATTACCTGCTTTATGTCCGAAATAATAAGCTGAGCTTGTCTAGCAACACCAGTATGCAAACGAGCATTCCGCTCCTTTCACACATAATACAACGATGCTTGATAAAGTAACCGAATGAAGAGTTTTTTGTTATTATCCTGGATTGGGTCTTTCAGCCATCTAATCCCATCCTCAAAATCAGCAGGAGGGAAGAGATGAAGCCTTGAGCAAAAGAAATACCAAATTTCTAAGGCAAAACTGCAATCAAAGAAGAGATGCTGTCGAGTTTCATCAGCGGAACTACATAAGAGACAGTCTGAGGGCACTTGTAAACCCCAAGACCGTAACCTATCTCTGGTCACCAATCTGTCTCTCACCGTAACCCAAGTCAAGAAGGCATGTTTAGGCACTCGACCTTTGAACCAAACCTGTTTATACCAGAAGACTGGAGCCCCTTCCGGATAAAGGATTTTCCACGTCTCTGCTGCCGAGAATCTATCTTTTGGCACCCCATTTGCTTGTCTCCAAAGAAACTTATCATCGGCTTCTGAATTTGCAATGGGACCAAACTCTGGAAGAAGTTGTCTTAACAAAACAATGATCGGATGCCTACTTCTTGCAGCATCTATCCACCACCCATTTTCTTTAATAGTATCAGCCACCGCAGCATCACTCTGCAGACCAGTCACCGCAGGCCCTTGAGGACCAGTAAGCTCAATAAGAGGCCCTAAGGATGTCCAGTCATCAAACCAGAAACTAGCAGTAATCCCAGAAGCCACATCACAAAAGACAAAAGGCCGAGCCAACGATCTCAACTTACACAAGTTCCTCCAAATCCAACTTCCATTAGTAGCATCCAGTAACCAGAAATTTTGCGAACCTATCAAATTTCGCCTGACCCAAGAGACCCAGAGAGAGCCACCCGCCGCAAAGATCAACCAAATAAGTTTTAACCCCATCACCTTGTTCCAATCCTCTAAACGCCTAAGTCCCAATCCTCCTGTTCCTTTGGAGGAGCAGACTGACTCCCGAGAAACCCTTGCTCCTCGTGCTGAAAGCCTCTCCAAAGAAACGCATTACACATCCTTTCAAGCTCGTCAATACACTGCTTCGGTAATATAAAAATTGATGCCCAGAACGCAATAAAGGAGTATATTACTGACTGAATTAACTGCAATCTCTCGGCAAAGGAGAGATGTCTAGCTGTCCACGAATTAAATCTCTCCAACACTTTATCATGGAGTGGTTTAAAGTCAGATTTTTTCATTTTTTTCGAAGACAAAGGAACCCCAAGATATCTGATAGGCAATGCACCCTGCTTGATTCCCACCGCTGCAGCAAGAGCTTGACATCTATTCGAACAACCTCCATCAATCATCACCTCAGACTTTGCAAGGCTAATACTCTACCCTGAAGTTGAACGAAAATCCTCCAAAATCAATAAAATCCCACGCAAAGAATCCTCAGAACCGTAAAAAAAAAAGAGTATATCATCCGCAAAGCTCAAATGAGTAATGAAGGGGGCTTCGCAGGACGGATGAATACCAAACACATGATTCATAACTCCAGCATCCAGCTTCTTCGACAGTACATCTAAGGCCAAGACAAATAAAAGAGATGATATAGTATCACCTTGTCTCAATCCTTTTTTCCCTCAAAGAAACCCTGGAGCTCACCATTCACCACCAAGCTAAAGGATGGAGTCGTTACACATTCCTTGATCCAATCTATTACAATTGGAGGCAGCTCAATTGCTTCTAAAACATTTAACAAGAATCCCCAATCCAAATTATCATATGCTTTAGTCAAATCCACCTTAGACACCCTCTGGTTGTCGGTCCCTGGATATGGAAAACTGAAACCAGCTCTGAAGCGAGGAGGACATTTTCACAGAGTAATCTCCCTTTATAAAACCCACCTGATTTCCTTGGACAGCATCAGATACAACCATTTGTAATTTCTTCTTTAAAATCCGCGAGATCACCTTATAAACTGTATAGCAAAGAGCAATAGGCCTGAACTGAGATAATCTATCCGCTCTTGGGAATTTTGGAATAGCTGTGACATTCACTGAATGCTGAAGTCTTGAGGAAATGAAAAATTCCTTCACTGCCGCCACTGTTTCCTGTCCCACAATAGTCCATGCATCCCAATAAAACTCTGCCGAAAAACCATCAGGCCCAGGAGCTTTACTTCTTGGCATACTGAACATGGTTTTTATTATCTCCTCATCCGAAGGAATAACAATCATTGAATTCTTTACCTCAAAGGGACATATGTAATTCATAAGAGTGCCAATCGCTTCAGAATCCATGGGGTCAACATTGAGAGATGCTGAGCCCAAAAGATTTTTGAAATAAGCAACAAGCATTTGAATAATCTGAGCTTTATTCTCAATTCGCTGATCAGCATCATTCATCAAGAAACGAATTGCGTTGTAGGCTTGGTGCGCTAGAACCATTTTGTGAAAGAATTTGGTGTTGGCATCTCCTTCATCAAGCCACCTTATACGAGATTTCCTACTAAAGAAAATTGTCTGAGCAGCAACCATGCTTTGCCAGTTTCTTCTTGCCACAAATTCTTCTCTAAAAAAGCTTGGGTCGGCACAGTTAACAGCTCCAACTGAATACTCTGAAGAGCAGCCCAGGTATCCTTGACTCGTTGTTAAATATTTCCAAAACCCTCCTTATTGAGAAGTCTACAAGCTGCTTTGACCTTCTTCATTCTTTTAACCAACGAGAAAAGATGCGAACCCACTGGAATTTGTTCCTCCCAAGCCGTCTTAATAGACTCCAAAAACTTCGGATGAGTGGCTAGGAAAGAATAATATATAAACCGAGACATACGATGCTCCACAGTCAATGATAACTCCACCACACATGGAGAATGATCTGAATCTCTTTGTGCCTGAAAATTTGCAACCACATCCGGATATTTTGCCCTCCATTTATCATTCCCCAACACTCTATCCAGCTTTCTCAAAATAGGATCTTCTGGACGGCCATTAGTCCAAGTAAAGAAACCCCCGCGTCCTTCAACATCCGCTAGATCAGTTTCCAGAAGACACTCCTGAAACTCCCTAATGCCTTGAATTGGAAGAGTAAATGGTGAGATCGAGTAATGCTCCGATGCCGCCAAAATTTGATTAAAGTCACCAAGAGCAAGGAACGGAGTGTCTTTTACAAGCTGATGATTAGAAACTTCCACCAGCTCCTGCCACAAACTACGATGCTGAATTACCGTGTTGTACGCATAAATAAATGCTAAAACTGCAGAATCAGCTGATACCGTATCCAACACACTACACATCATCATCAGCTCCGATCTCCTGAGAACCAATAGAGATACTGAAGGATTCCAAACAACTATAACTCTACCACGAGGGGCTTGGCAAACGTTAGAATCAAACCGCCAACCCGCTGGCAGAAAAGTAGTAAAGATTTGAGCTATATTCTCTTCCTGAATTTGGGTCTCCACAGAAGCACCAACTGTAACATTATTAGTCTGCATCCAACGACGAACATCTCTTTGCCGGTCAGAATTATTTAAACCTCTAACATTCCATACAAAGATCTTCATATATACAAATTTGAAGGGGTAGGACCGAGATTAAAATTTCCTTGCCGAGGCAAAGCCTCTTGCAAAGAAAGGAGACTGATTTTTTGGAGGAGTTACTGGCCTTCCATAACTCTTCCTGCCTAATCATTCTTCGTGCCCACTTAGAGTTTTTAGTCATCCAAGGTGTATCATTGATCTCTCCTTCCTCGACTTCTTCCTTAGATAATACAGACTCCTTAGTGACATCAACCGTAGTAGCCACACCAACTGATTTAATCACTATTAAATCCTCTACTATCTCTTCTACCGGTGAGGCCACACTGACTTGCTGTACATGATTCTCAACACACGAAGCACTACGACCTCTAGCCCTTGAACGCGATCTATTCCTTCTCTTAGATTTCTTCAACAACCTCAAGCTTTCCTCTTCAGCCACTTCAGAGCTCTGAACATGGGTTTTAGAAGCTGAGTGAGAACAAACTTTATCTTCTAACGGAGCAGTAGTGACAGTTGAGTCTAGAGGAGCACTATCTTCTTTGAGACCTTCCAACTGAATGACTGTCGAAGTTGTCACAATCTGAGCTTCACTTTTTGTTTTACGAGCTTTCTGAATGTTACTAGCTATTCTCTTCTTCATTAATGGCTTAGGGCACCTGTTGAGGAGATGTCCAAATTTTTCACAATTGCAACACTTCGGAGGTAAGCTTGGGTACACAACGTTAATGTTCACTGAGTTTCCAAGCGTATCCCTAACCAACACCGAATCTGGAGGCGGGTGATCGAGAATGATCTCAATCTTAACCTTTGTGTCCCCAAAGCAGTATGGTTCGAGTCTGGACTTTTCTGTATGCAACGGCTCTCCAATAGCACTTGCCACTACGCTGATTCCATCCAGAGAGTAAAGCTGCGGCGGAACATTCTTCAGAATCCCCCACGTAGGAGCAGACTTAAGCTCTAGAGAATCAAAGTTTCCATCGATTGACCAGGGAAACACATAAAACGCACAATGATCCGCTTGCCAGTAGCCCACCTGTAGAACCCATTCTCGGGTTTGAACAGAAGGAATGTAGATGAGACAGGAGGTATCCGATACTTTGTGAAGACTGATGTTGCCAAATTTACCCCAAACCGGATTTAGGTCAGCATAAATTTTGTCTCGAGGTGGCAACGTTCCATGAAATTGAGCTACTATGTGTTCCTTCCACATCTCTGCTGTCTGAAGTAAAACCTCCGGCGGCGCCTGAACAACTGGGGTACCATCCTCCAAAAACGTCGGGTCCGAGATTTTTCTAAGATTCCTGAGAGATGATTTGAATCTTTCAGTGTAAGAAGGAACATGGAGTGAAGGAATACACAGAGGAATTGAGGTAGCCTGGAGAATTTCAGATGAAACCAAGGATTCAGAATTGGATCTGGGAGGAGAAGGAGCCCTGATTTCTTGAACAGAGGACGACGCTGCAACGCCATCTGGAAGAGACATATCCAAGACCTAAGATAGAGAGAAATTGGAAGAAGAAAAGAAGAGGGGGATATTCTCGACCCCCAGCGAGAGGCCAGCAGACGGCGGAGATACGGTAAAGACCTTATCGCCTAAAAAGACTCATGAGAGAGAGAGAATTTTTTTTTTTTTAAGTGCAGACCTGCATAAACACTATATTTGAGATTTGTGATCTTGTTTTGTTCTTATTCAAAGTATACTATCATTAGCAGTATGTACCAGAGAAACCAACGTTATGAGATAGTGTTTCCTCAAACTTTGGTCACCCAAGAGTTTAGTTTCACCTAAGGAATTTTGAGTTTACTTTCATCGTCGGTAGCAAGAACTGAGTCCAGTGCTCGAGTCAGCTGCATAAACGCTAGAGTTTGTATTTGAAATCATGGTTTACGAGAATGTTTAGTTCTTCTTTTGAAATTTGACCAACTTTAAGCACTATACTAGAAGAAACATGATCAGTGGGGTACTGAGATTATCACTTGAATCTTGATAGTCCCTCTTCTTTTTCTTTCCTTGTAGATGATCTCTGAATTTTTATAGAACAGTTACTATATGGCTTGCTTCTGCATCTCTTTTAGTCTCATCTGATTTGGTTTCCTTGAACATTAACAGGTGGTCTCTCTTTCATTTCCTTCTTCTGCCATGCAATCATTGATCACCACTGACTAGTTATTATCGACTTGCAATGACATAATGCAGGTGTAGATGTTAGTATGAACACTCACTTAAAAGCATTGAAACTCACTTTGAAATGGAAGAATCCAGTCTCATTAGACCACTTAAGTGTCAGGGGAAACAACATTCGCTATTATATTCTTCCAGACAGCTTAAATCTCGAGACTTTACTGGTCGAAGACACACCACGAATCAAACCGAAAAAACCAACTGCAGGTAACATAAAAAGCATTTTCTTTCTCCACTTCTCTGTTCATTCTTAACCATGTCTTTTGGTTTTATTGTTTGCCTCTTCTCATCATTTTCTTTTGTTGTCATTGGAATCAGGAAAGATCCCACCAGGTGGTCGTGGGCGTGGGCGTGGAAGAGGAGGACGTGGTGGCCGTGGTGGTCGTTAAGCATTTTGCAGTGATCCGAAGTATGATCTATCTTGTTATCTTTTAACTTTTCATGATTTTGTGATTTGATACGTTATTCCCATACTCATCAAACACGAAAACAATTAATTTCGTTTATTACTGAGTTCATTACTTTATTACACAATCTGATACAACTCAAAGGTTAGTTCGAGATTTTTGGTTTTGACCTTTTCCAAGAATCTGGACAAAGTCAAAGATTAAACTAAGACAGTACCGGTCATCACAGTCACAGCTTTGCCTGTGAGCAAGACCCTCTGCTTCTCCTTATCATAATGAACCTTCAGTTCTCCACTCCTACGCGAAGCCTACAAAAACATTTGCTGAATCATTAAACTGTGTGGGGCTTCATAGCTTTCAAACTGTTAGCAAGTTACAGAGAGAAAGAGGAGTCACAGTGTAGGCGACGAAATCACATTTGTTCATCTTGAGACTCCAGTAATGTGCTAAAGCACAATGCGCACTTCCACATGCAGAGTCATGAAGGAACAAGAGAAGAGGTAAAAGCTCAAGACTTTTGGTGTTTTGTTTGCACCTATATTACTGAGTTAATCAAAGCTTTGGCCCATGAAAAAATGCAGGTTTAGTTTCTTAACCTCAATGAGCCCTAGTTTAGGAGCAAAGAGTCGACTGCAGAAATCATACACAGATCCTTCAGGAGCAGCAGCGGTAACAATCATCACTTTGCCTGGGCATTTCTTGATATCATCAGTTCTTGGCTGCAACTCAGCCACAGCCTCCCAAGATGAAAGCACAACCTGTAATCAGACAGGATAAGAAACACTTGAACATAATAAAACAAGCCAAGTTTACTAAAACTTATTTTTCTAAAATGCATAAACCATGATTTGATCTGTTGAAGTTGATTTAGTAGCTCCCTTCAAGGGTTTAAAGACAAGTTTATCTTTTGTAGTTCCTCTGACATCAACAACAGTAGCTCCGTTCAAGGCTTTAGAGAACATGGTGAAATCACCGGAGCTGTACTCACATGTTGTAATCACAGGGAAGTTAATTTCGATCAAGAAAGATCCTTTGGCTTCACAATCATCGACCCTTATAGCAGTTAGAATCCCTGAGTGAGTGGAAAACTCGACCGTCTCAGAAGAACCAACTAAGCCGTTTGAGAAGAGAGTATGAGCTGATGCTAAAGTTCCATGACCACATATATCCATCTGTCAAGAAGAACTTAGCTTTTGTTAATCAATATTCTATCAATGAAAATTGCATCTGTCGATTTTAGATAAATTGTTGCCTTTCGGTTTCTAAAAATGTATGTTTATGTATTTTTACAGATATTAAAAAATATTAAATTTGATTTAATATAAATATTTTATTTTGGTATTTACTATAATTTTATATAAATAGTATTTTAGTAAGTATATTTTTTCGAAATGTGTAATGTATTATTATTATTAACTAATAAAAATTTCAATAAAATTTCAAAAACCAAACTTTTGAGATAGTTATTTGAAAAAATATTTATCTTCTGAAACTGAAATAATATAAATAACTAATGCGGAAAGATAACCTAAAAAACATATGAATAAGCAATAAAGTAAGCCATATAGATTAGTTCTGGACATTTTATCAGGATTGAACCATATAGATTAGCAATAAGAAATGTAAACTGGAAGGATAAAAATAAACTACCAATCCCAATTTACAAGTACATCGTTGGGTGCAAAAAATTTCTATAAAAAACCGAAACCAAAAGAACCTACATGAGTAAATCTTAACTCGAATCCACATAGACCCTATCTGATAAGAAGCAATTCAATACCCGACCTAAAAATATAAATATCCAAGAGTATAGATCCATGTACTCAATTTTTAAAATTTCAATTTAAGATTTAGTGATAATGTCTTTTTGCTTACAATGATTATTATTGTTTTGGAACCTTTTCAAATATTAGGAAACTTTAAATGCCAAACTTAGAATTAAAAAGTGTTCAATTTCAATTATTTTTAGTTAATTTGTAAAATTTGAGATAAATATGAGAAAATGGTTAAATTTTGATGAGGTTTTGGGTCTTTTTTTGCTCTGAGTCCTAAATACTTGAACTTAACTGACTCGGGCTCTCTATGTATCCCAAAATTACATGCATCTTGCTGTTGATTTTATTATAGCTCCAAACCGATTTGGACTCGAGAGAAACCAACACAGATCTTAATAGGGTCAAAACAAAGAAAAACAGATCTGAAAAGACCGACTTGAACTCGACCGGAAGTCTAGAATGCCCATGATTTAACATGATTCGCGAATTGGCTAACCCATGAAGAAAGATTTTAATTAATTGGAAGGGAGAAGTAATTTTCAGATTACATGAACTTGAAAAAAACACAAACTACATATAAATAATAGGTATACTGCATTGAAACTCCTAAATAAATGGACTCGCGGGTCATACCTAGTCTACAAAACTGAAAACCATAATCCATATAGTAGTCATGTGTGAATTTTTAAATGTTGATATCAAAGAATGTTTGGAAGACGGACCTCGGCTACAGGGGTGAACCACCGGAGAAGAAAGCGTGGTGGATGTAGAGGATCAGAGCCGGTGATGGTAGTAAGAAAACAAGTCAAGGGTAGGTCAAACTCAGCACCAAGAGACTGAAGCCAAGAGTCGTCTCTCTCATGGTCTTCTTCAAGAAAACAAACTGCTGCTTGGTTCCCCTTGAAGGCTGACTCAGTGAATGCATCAACCTGTAAATATTAACAACAACAACACTCATCAATCATAAATATTGAAAAGAGACTCAAATCAAAAGAAGAAGAAGAAGAGAATACAATTACCACAAAGTATTTCACTGGCTTCTTCATGATCTTCCTTTGTTTGCTTCTGAAATCTTAATCACTCTCAACGTTTACTTATATTCAGCAACCATACAACTTTTTAAATAACGTGAATAATGTAGCAACTATTTTAAAGAAAAGAGGAGCATCCACATGCGTAGTTCTGTTATAAAACACTAGTCTATTCTCTTCAAAAATTAAAAATCCGGCAGATACCACATTTAGGAATAAAGTTAACCTCATCAACCCATTATTTAAGTTCCAAAAATGCTTCGCCACAGATCTCCACTTAAAAAAAAGAATCAATTTCTCAAATACTTCTGCTCCAAAAAAGAAATATATGTGATACTCCTGTCCGAAACTACCCAAAGTCGAAAATAGATAAATCTTTAATGAAATTAGGAAAATTATTAAAAAACCATGGAACCAATAGAAATATTCATAATTACAATCCAACCAAGACCATTTCGCGGACCATCCAAACCCGATCCATAAAATTTAGATCTCTTTCTTTTTTTTGATCAATCTTGGTGTAACTGTACAGCGTATAAAACTTCAACTAATATAGACTATATCAGTTACAAAGTTATTCGAAATTGAACTAAGTCACACTTTTTGATTTGCAAAGTTCGACTAGTTTTGACTGTATCTTTTACATTTGCATTATGTTCTTTTATGGAGACAGTGTTATTAATGATATATTTATTGAAGTTAAAATAAATAAAGATTACTTTATAGAGAAAACTAGAGACATTATATTATATAAAATGTATTTTACATAAATTTAGTAAAAGTAGATAACCATAACTCATAAACACACAACTAATCTTCAATTGACCAGTGGACAGCGGTCAAGTGAATATCATTGTAGAAGTCTCAAACTGCACATTGTTAGAAACGACAATCGCATCTCCACCGTGTTCTAGATCCATCTAAGGAGACTACAAACACTGGTTCTATTACTGCGGAGCACAAACAGTTATGTGAGACGTTGGGATCTATTCTTTCCAGTAGAGACATAAACACCTCAGGTTTTTCGTAATCCCAATAGCCTGAGAATGCCAAAGTCGTGATCATGTAACTCATCCGATCAACAAATTCACGACTAAAGCTAGGATAGTTGTGAACCAAAATCCTCTATCATCAACACTAAACGCTAAGTTCAGCATTCCATCTACATGCTTGGTCAACAACAATCCTCTCTCACCAGCAAGATGGATTTTTTTCCTTTCCTTTATTAAGTAAATGGAGGACGAAGAACTCATACATACCTCGCATGTAGATGGCCTCTAGATTACTGGATTGATATAACCTAACCCTGAATGTCCTAACAGCATTAGCATCATCAATCCAGTCATTCAAGCTAAAGAGATTTGCAGATCGGTAGAAGTATTCTTCTCTGCCAACTTGATTGAACCCGGAGAAAGAAACTCTTGCACTACCGAAGTTCTGGAGATGGCTAGTTGCTACCTTTAGGAGAATCTTATGAAGCATGGAAGGAGGGAGAGAAGCCAAGTTAAATTTCGACATGGAGAGATATTTGTTTAATCGAGTAAATTGAGAGATAAGAATAAACTTCAACTGACGTGAAGAGATAAGTATAAGCTGAGTATTTGTTATCCCACTTAAGGGTGATTTCATAGACGCCTCGAGAACACACGAGTTCAGAAGACACGACTTCTCAGTGCAACAACAAGTGCATGGGTTGGATTTGCAACTTTGAAAAACTCTATATATACCTATGTATAAGTAAGTGAAAATAAGTGATTTAGATTGTCTAAATTCATGAAACTAAGCACAATTTTAACAATTTAGATTGTCTAAAAATATGAAACTATGTAAAATGTTAAGGAAATTAGATTCTCCGAATGAAAATGGTAATATTTAGTTTGAGAAAAATCATGTATTAATGATTAAAGCAGTGGCGTATGTATTTAAGGGTGATTTGATATGATATTCATTTGATTGACTCTCCGAGAAAGCACAACTTCTCTCACACGCCTTCTGACTGCAACAGTCGCGTCTCTTGAATTTGGAACTTTGTATAACTTTACTTTATTAAAAATTTAAACTTATGTATAAGTAAGTGAAACTAAGTGAATTTATTGTCTAAATTTATGAACTAAGAAAAACGTAACAATTTAGATGGTATATATATTTGAAACTATGTAAAACTTAATATACTTTAGTGAATATATTTAATGACATAAATTAGCAGTATATAATTAATGATTTATTATCCCAACTTCCATTTTCTAGCTCCTCTATTTATGGGTGATTTGATGGACTCCTCAAAAGAACACGACGTCTCTCATGAAAAAAATCTCTTATAATAATCATTACACTTGCATTTAAACATCACTCTCAACACTACAACATCTAAATCCAAATCATCATCACAATTGAATTTAAACTCGACCCCTTTAAACTCCACCACACTAAGTTAACATTTCTCTGCAAAAATTCACCAGAAAGAAAAGCAAAGGAACGATTCATCATCTCCTCTCTCAACAAACAAGATGGCACACTATAATAAGTTTTCTGAAGTTTGTTATAACCCAAAGATCACGGCTTGGCGTTTCAGAGTCAAAATACACAGGATCTACCCTTTCTATTTTTGTTTTACCAGCAGTGGACCTTTATATACCTATGTCCTAGCAGGTGAAGAGATACGTGTTAAATCATCATCTCTGAAGTTTCTAATAACATCTAACCGTGAAAAATAAAAACTTGATCCTTGTACTTATATTTATGTAGGGAACCAAGATGGAGATGACCATTTATGGGGATTATGATAAGTTTAGAGGCCTATATAAACAAGACGGAAAATGGGTGGAAATCTTTCGGGTAGAAGTTAACCGTTCCCTTCCAGGCAACTAACACTCGATTCAATCTAACTGCTACACTCTATACGCAAGTCCACATCATCGATCGTCTGAACAATCGGATTTTCGTGGACTTCAAGAACATCCATGCAATCCCTTACATGGACCACATGGACCAAAACTATCCCATAGGTATGAATGCTACTAAAATTTAAATATATTCACATGTTTAGATTTATGAAACTAAGAAAAACGTAACACTTGCCTGGTAGATACAATGGGAGTGATCTTCAACACGGAAGCCCATTTTGATGACCCTAAAAATCTAAGGATGGTGTTTTACATAAGGGATAACATGTAAGTAGAAAGTAAAATATAATCAAAGAAAAATTTATCTATAATGTAATTGACACATCTTTTTATTCTGAATAGTGATAGTCGGATAAAATGTGTGGCATCTGGTGATAATGCATATGCCTTCTGGGATGCTCTTGAAAACATGAGAGGTCGTGGACATGTGATTGTGGTTCTTAAGATGTGGAGGGTCTAAAAATTTATGAGTAAGTGGCCTAGTTTTAAGTGTGATAGTTGAGTAAAAAAAATTACTAAACTCATTTATACAGGTTATTTTGGTCCTCCTGATCTATGGCTTAAGATCGAGGGTGGACTATCTGAATTCAGGTTCAATCCGCGTTTGTTGGAGGTTGAGGAGTTCAGGCAGTCTCTACTACGCAATGACCCTTATGTTCAGAGATATGGGGCTGTAGGTCTTTTGTAAATCTTGTTGTTCTCAATGTTCTCCATCTTCGTACTTGTCTTAAACTTGGTAAAACTTTGTTTAAATGTTGGTGAACTTTTGTGGTTTTAACTTTTTCAATTTTCCAACTTCTAAAAAGATGGTGAAACTTTGTTTAAATGTTGTGTGAAACTGTGTCAAATGTTGGTGAAACTGTGTCAAATGTTGGTGAAACTTTGTGGTTTTAACTTTGTCAATTTTCCAACTAAAAAATAAATGAACTAGAAGTTGTTTCTCGTATAAACTGGTAAAAATTTGTGTTACTTTCACGTTCTCAATTGTCTAACTTTGTAAAATTAGACAAAGTTGAAATTCGTTTTCGTATAAATAGGTCAGACTTTGGGTTAATTTCACTTTCTCAATTGTCTAACTTCGTAAAAATTATAGAAATTTTTTCGATAGATCAAACTACATAGTTATCCAACTTTTTCATAGCTGCAGGAATTGAATTATTTTAGCAATTACTTCTTGTACATCATAATTCCTAGAACTAAAACGACAGTAAGACAACAAAACCTCCTGCTATATTTCTCTTGGGCATTATTTTGGGACCTCGACTAAGTTCACCTTCACTCCTTATTGTTGCTTTGATAACTTGAACTTCTTCTTCTAGCATTCGAACTTGGTAGTCCAACTGTTGTATCTCATCGGTGAAAGCTTCATCAACCCATTTGAAGACATGATTGTCTTTCTCAAGCTACACGGATTAAACGTACCAATTAAAAGAAGAACGAGTAAGCCTTCAATAATTAAATCTAAACGGATGTATCCTTTGTGAGTTCGCATAGAGACACCGATAATATCAGCGATATGGGTTTTGATTGCTTCTGGAGATGAGCTCGGTGGTGCTCTCCCCACACCAACACTTACTAGGTATTCCTGGAATTCGTACTCGTCTCCAACCACTGGTCATGGAAGATGAAGCGGACATCGGTGTTGGGAGGAGTTTGGTTGGGAGAGAGATAAATTAGGGAATAGAGAGGGAATTCGAAGAGAGAGAAAGGAGAAGATAGCGAATGGGGAAAACCCAAAAAATATCTTTAATACTTCGATTAAATGATTTTGGGGTTTTAGCAAACTGGGAAGAGGGAAATTAGAAATTCGAAAATCTGGGAGGGAAGAGGAAAATTAGAAATTCGAAATTTTATCCAAGAATTTTCGTGGTAGAAGTTTCACCAAGTTTTTAGTTTTACAGAAAATATCAAACTTGTACTTTTTAATTATTTCCATTTTCTTAGTTATACTCTACTTGAATGACTGATTTTATAGTAATACCAATTAAATTATGTTTCATTGGTTCATTTCTCATACGATCATGTACACATAAACTTGATTTCATGCCATTAGTAAATTTTCAAATGTAACGAGGTGGGTATTAACGAAAAAGCTATGAGAACGCAATGTATTTCCTAAATGATTGCTAACAAGCAATGAGATAGAAATTTAATAATTCTGATTAGACCATAATTATCATAAACATTAATAATAAATCACCATCTTATTACTTCCATGACTTATTAACACTTTTAGAGTTTACATTCATATTCTGTTGATGGTTAAGCAATGGAACTCTCTCGAAATTTTAGTGTAGCCAGAATGTTGATTTCATAGTTTTGCCCTAGGAATGCTTTGCCCTTTTCAACCTGAGTGAAACACTGGTCGAGTCAGATGCAGATGATACACGAGTTCTTGTCTTAAAATCAAGATTCCTGATATAGGTTAGTTTTCTCTTCCTGCTTGTACAAACAATCTGTCTGTAAGCTTAGCCAGAGTGTTTTGATTTTGAGCTAGAAATGCATCGTTGTCGGTATCAAACCTCGAGTCAGATGCATAAACACTTTATATTTGAGATTTGTGATGTTGTTTTGTTCTTATTCAAAATATACTATCATTAGCAGTATGTAACAGAGCAACCAACGTTATGAGATAGTGTTTCCTCAAACTCACCCATGATAGAGTTTAATTTCACCAGCTGAGCTCTTTATGTAGTCACAGATTCTGAGGTTTATTCTGATACTAGCCTAAGCAATTTTGAGTTTAGGCTAAACTTGGTTTTTTAACGTGGAAGAATGCATCGTCGGTTGCAAGAACTGAGTCCATTACTCGAGAAAGCTGCATAAACGCTAGAGTTTTGTATTTAAATCATGGTTTATGAGAATGTTTAGTTGATCTTCTTTTGAAATTTGACCAACTTTAAGCACTATACTAGAAGAAACATGATCAGTGGGGTACTGAGATTATCACTTGAATCTTGATAGTCCCTCTTCTTTTTCTTTCCTTGTAGATGATCTCTGAATTTTTATAGAACAGTTACTATATGGCTTGCTTCTGCATCTCTTTTAGTCTCATCTGATTTGGTTTCCTTGAACATTAACAGGTGGTCTCTCTTTCATTTCCTTCTTCTGCCATGCAATCATTGATCACCACTGACTAGTTATTATCGACTTGCAATGACATAATGCAGGTGTAGATGTTAGTATGAACACTCACTTAAAAGCATTGAAACTCACTTTGAAATGGAAGAATCCAGTCTCATTAGACCACTTAAGTGTCAGGGGAAACAACATTCGCTATTATATTCTTCCAGACAGCTTAAATCTCGAGACTTTACTGGTCGAAGACACACCACGAATCAAACCGAAAAAACCAACTGCAGGTAACATAAAAAGCATTTTCTTTCTCCACTTCTCTGTTCATTCTTAACCATGTCTTTTGGTTTTATTGTTTGCCTCTTCTCATCATTTTCTTTTGTTGTCATTGGAATCAGGAAAGATCCCACCAGGTGGGCGTGGAAGAGGAGGCCGTGGACGTGGTGGACGTGGTGGCCGTGGTGGTCGTTAAGCATTTTGCAGTGATCCGAAGTATGATCTATCTTGTTATCTTTTAACTTTTCATGATTTTGAGATTTGATACGTTATTCCCAAACTCATCAAACACGGAAACAATTAAGTTCGCTTATTACTGAGTTCATTAGTTTATTACACAATCTGATACGACTCAAAGGTTAGTTCGAGATTATTGGTTTGACCTTTTCCAAGAATCTGGACAAAGTCAAAGATTAAACTAAGACAGAACCGTTCATCACAGTCACAGCTTTGCCTGTGAGCAAGACCCTCTGCTTCTCCTTATCATAATGAACCTTCAGTTCTCCACTCCTACGCGAAGCCTACAAAAACATTTGCTGAATCATTAAACTGTGTGGGGCTTCATAGCTTTCAAACTGTTAGCAAGTTACAGAGAGAAAGAGGAGTCACAGTGTAGGCGACGAAATCACATTTGTTCATCTTGAGACTCCAGTAATGTGCTAAAGCACAATGCGCACTTCCACATGCAGAGTCCTGAAGGAACAAGAGAAGAGGTAAAGCTCAAGACTTTTGGTGTTTTGTTTGCACCTATATTACTGAGTTAATCAAAGCTTTGGCCCATGAAAAAATGCAGGTTTAGTTTCTTAACCTCAATGAGCCCTAGTTTAGGAGCAAAGAGTCGACTGCAGAAATCATACACAGATCCTTCAGGAGCAGCAGCGGTAACAATCATCACTTTGCCTGGGCATTTCATGATATCATCAGTTCTTGGCTGCAACTCAGCCACAGCCTCCCAAGATGAAAGCACAACCTGTAATCAGACAGGATAAGAAACACTTGAACATAATAAAACAAGCCAAGTTTACTAAAACTTATTTTTCTAAAATGCATAAACCATGATTTGATCCGTTGAAGTTGATTTAGTAGCTCCCTTCAAGGGTTTAAAGACAAGTTTATCTTTTGTAGTTCCTCTGACATCAACAACAGTAGCTCCGTTCAAGGCTTTAGAGAACATGGTGAAATCACCGGAGCTGTACTCACATGTTGTAATCACAGGGAAATTAATTTCGATCAAGAAAGATCCTTTGGCTTCACAGTCATCGACCTTTTTAGCAGTTATAGTCCCTGAGTGAGTGGAAAACTCGACCGTCTCAGAAGAACCAACCAAGCCGTTTGAGAAGAGAGTATGAGCTGATGCTAAAGTTCCATGAAAAATGCAGTCCAACTTTTGCCGATTTTAGATAAATTGTTGCCTTTAGGTTTCTAGAAAATGTATGTTTATGTATTTTTACAGATATTAAAAAAATATAAAATTTTGTTTAATATAAAGATATTATTTTGGTATTTACTATAAATAGTATTTTAGTAGTATATTTTTTTCGAAATGTGTAATGTATTATTATTAACTAATAAAAATTTCAATAAAATTTGGAAAACCATTTTTTTTTGAAATAGTTATTTTAAAAAATATTTATCTTCTAAAACTGAAAGAATATAAATAACTAATGCAGAAAGATAACCTTAAAACCATATGAATAAGCAATAAAGTAAGCCATATAGATTAGTTCTGGACATTTTATCAGAACTGAACAGTATAGATTAGCAATAAGAAATCTAAACCGGAACCGATCAAAAATAAACGACCACTCCCAATTTACAGATACATCGTTGGGTCCAAAAAAATCTCTAAAAAAAACCAAAACCCAAAAGAACCGACATGAGTAAACCTTAACTCGAATCAGCATAGACCCTATCTTTAATATTTCAATTTAAGATTAAGTTATAATGTCTTTTTGTTTACAATGATTATTATTGTTTTCAAATATTATGAAACTTTATAAGAAAACTTAGAATTAAAAAATGTTTAATTTCAATTATTAATAGTTTATAATTAGTTGATTTATAAAATTTGAGATAAATATGAAAAAATGGTTAAATTTTGATGAGGTTTTGGGTTTTTTTTACTCCGAGTCCTAAATACTCGAACTGAACTGACTCGGATTCTCTATGTATCCCAAAATTACATGCATCTTGCTGTTTATTTTATTATAGATCCGAGCCGATTCGGACCCGAGAGAAACCAACATAGATCCTAATAGGGTCCAAACAAAGAAAAATAGATCTGAAAAGACCGATTCGAACTCGACCGGAAGTCTAGAATGCCCATGATTTAACATGATTCGCGAATTGGCTAAGCTTAACTAATTGGAAGGGAGAAGTAATTTTCAGATTACATTAACTTGAAAAAAAAACACAAACTACATATAAATAATGGGAATTCGAAAAAAAAGCACGAACTTTGCACGAATTGCCAAAAGAAACATGAACTTTTAGGCTGGCAAAAATAACACAAAAATTTCATTGACTTTAGAATTAAATAATAAAGTTTTCATTGACTTACCAATTTAACACACCGTCAACAAATTTAACAGAAAAAATTTGACGTGTCGTTAAGTGAAACGACGTCGTTATCAAATGAGATGCAACGACGTCGTTTTACATGAATTTGAAAACAAAAACAAAAACAAACACAAACACAAACTACATATAAATCATGGGAATTCGAAAAAAAAAACACGAACTTTGCACGAATTGCCAAAAGAAACATGATTTTTAGGCTGGCAAAAATAACACAAAAGTTTCATTGACTTTAGAATTAAATAATAAAGTTTTCATTGACTTACCAATTTAACACACCGTCAACAAATTTAACAGAAAAAATTTGACGTGTCGTTAAGTGAAACGACGTCGTTTTCAAATGAGATGCAACGACGTTGTTTTACATGAATTTGAAAACAAAAACAAAAACAAACACAAACTACATATAAATAATGGGAATTCGAAAAAAAAACACGAACTTTGCACGAATTGCCAAAAGAAACATGAACTTTTAGGCTGGCAAAAATAACACAAAAATTTCATTGACTTTAGAATTAAATAATAAAGTTTTCATTGACTTACCAATTTAACACACCGTCAACAAATTTAACAGAACAAAATTTGACGTGTCGTTAAGTGAAACGACGTCGTTTTCAAATGAGATGCAACGACGTCGTTTTACATGAATTTGAAAACAAAAACAAATGGCAAGGCATTTTACCACTGGACTATTGGCACTTTCAATGTAATTAGTAACATATTTAATTTTATTTGGTACTGATTACATATAAAAATTGTCTAAAAACTTAAAAAGATCTTTAAAATTCCAAAAAATTAAAAAAATAAAGAATTGTTTATAAAATTAATTTTGAAATTAAATTAAAAATAAATTTTATTTTGTCTTTAAAAAATCAAAAGTCTTCCAAAATATTCATTTTACAAACAATTTCTAAAAACTGAAATTAACTATAAACACAAAAAATACCCACATATTAAAATTAAATTAAAATGCTTAAAATAAATATTGTACCCAGTATGAGTGTGATTTTAATTTTGTCTAAAAAATTATTAGATAAAAATTAAAATCACACTCATATTGGGTACAATATTATTTTAAGCATTCTAATTTAATTTTAATATGTGGGTATTTTTTGTATTTATAATTAATTTCAGTTTTTAGATTTTTTTTTTAAAAATGAATATTTTGGAAACTTTTGATTTTTTAAAGAATTTTTTTTTTATTTTTATTTTAATTTCAAAATTAATTTTATAAAAAAATCTTTATTTCTTCAATTTTTTGGAATTTTAAAGATCTTTTTAAGTTTTAGGCAATTTTTGATATTCAATCAGTACCGAATAAAATTAAATGTGTTAGTAATTACATTGAAAAGCCACTAGTCCAATGGTAAAATGCCTTGCCATTTAACTCAATCAACCCGGATTCGAATCCGCGGGTGTACATGTTTTTATTTTCAAATTCATGTAAAACGACGTCGTTTCATTTAACGGCAACATTTAACGTTGTTATGGTATGACCAGTCAATATTAAGTTGCTTAAAAAACCAAAAAAGTCAACAAAAGTGCAGATTTTTTTTGACAAAGCTCGAATAAATGTTTTTTTTGGCAATTCGTGCAAAGTTCGTGTTTTTTTTGGTCGAATTCTCTATAAATAATAGGTATACTGCATTGAAACTCCTAAATAAATGGACTCGCGGGTCATACCTAGTCTACTAAACTGAAAACCATAATCCATATAGTAGTCATGTGTGAATTTTCAAATGTTGATAGCAAAGACTGTTTGGAAGACGGACTTCGGCTACAGGGGTGAACCACCGGAGAAGAAAGCGTGGTGGATGTAGAGGATCAGAGCCGGTGATGGGAGTAAGAAAACAAGTCAAGAGTAGGTCAAACTCAGCACCAAGAGACTGAAGCCAAGAGTCGTCTCTCTCATGGTCTTCTTCAAGAAAACAAACTGCTGCTTGGTTCCCCTTGAAGGCTGACTCAGTGAATGCATCAACCTGTAAGTATTAACAACAACAACACTCATCAATCATAAATATTGAAAAGAGACTCAAATCAAAAGAAGAATAAGAAGAAGATAATACAATTACCACAACGTATTTCACTGGATTCTTCATGATCTTCCTTTATTTGCTTCTGAAATCTTAATCACTCTCAACATTTACTTATATTCAGCAACCATACAACTCTTTAAATGACGTGAATAATGTAGCAACTATTTTAAAGAAAAGAGGAGCATCCACATGCGTAGTTCTGTTATAAAACACTAGGGAGGATTTGGTCTATTCTCTTCAAAACATTTAAAATCCGGCAGATACCACATTTTAAGAATAAAGTTAACCTCATCAACCCATTATTTACGTTCCAATAATGCGTCGCCACAGATCTCCACATAAAAAAGAAGAATCAACTGCTCGGATACTTCTATCCGAAAACAAAATTCTGTCTTTTACCCGAAGCTGCCTAAAATCGAAAATAGATAAATTTTTAATTAAATCGGGAAAATTATTAAAAGATCATGGAACCAACAAAAATCTGCATAATTACAATCCAACCAAGACCATTTCGCGGACCATCCATACCCAATCCATAAAATTCAGATCTCTTTCTTCATAATTTCCAAAAACTTTGTACGACTTAGTGTAACTGTCAATCTTGGTGTAACTGTACATCGTATAAAACTTCGACTAATATAGATTGTATCAATTACAAAGTTATTCAAAATTGAACTAAGTCGCACTTTTGGATTTGCAAAGTTCAACAAGTTTTGATTGTATCGTTTACATTTGCATTATGTTGTTTTATGGAGACAATGTTGTTGATGATATATTTATTGAAGTTAAAATAAATAAATGTTACTTTATAAAGAAAAACTAGAGATATTATATTATATAAAATGTATTTTACATAAATTTAATAAAAGTAGATAACCATAACTTATAAACACAAAATTAATCTTCAATTGGCTAGTGGGCAGCGGTCAAGTGAATATCACTGCAGAAGTCCCAAGCTGCACATCGCCAGAAACAACGATCGCATCTCCACCGTGTTCTAGATCCATCTACGAAGACTACAAACACCGTTCTATTACTGTGGAGCACCAACAATTATGTGAGACGTTGGGATCTATTCTTTCCAGTAGAGACATAAACACTTCGAGTTTTTTGTAATCCCAATAGCCTGAGAATACCGAAGTCGTGATCATGTAATTCATCCGATCAGAAAATTCACGATTAAAGCTGAGATAGTTGTGACCAATCCTCTATCATCAGCACTAAACGCTAAGTTCAGTATTCCATCTACATACTTGGCCAACAACAATCCTCTCTCACCAATAAGATGGATTTTTTTCCGTCCTTCATCAAGTAAATGGAAGACGAAGAACTCATACATACCTCGCATGTAGATGGT